AGAGGCTAAAATTATATACAAGTGACACGTTGTATATCTCAAAACACTTTGCTTGACTTTTTCTTATTAAATCTATATCTTCATCCGAAAGTATAAGGACTTTAAAAACTCCACGTAACTTGTTGTTATCATTTCATTTATTTTGTAATACGTGCCGATTTGTCATCATCTAGTTTTCCGATATAGAAGTGGTAAACAATGCCAATCTTTTGAAGGAGATAAGCCGAATTCCCCACTTTTTATCGAAAATTTTGAAGCCAAAAGATGGCGAGGAAATATCGAGTTTCTGCGAGTTTTTCAACCAAGGAGTGTTGTTCCAAGAGTTCTTCAAAGTCTTTCATCTTCAAATTAACTTTAGTTTTCTTTTCTACTTACTGTTCCCAGAGACTCCTCTGGTTTGGATGCCAAACGCAAAGGGAGTCTACTCCAGAAATAGCAGAGAAGCAAGGCTTGACCCCTTTGTAAACTGTCCAAAACGTCCGCTCCTCGGTGTATCATATTTAAAGACTTCGTTGACAACATTTCGTATCAAGAAAACTTCAAGTTGTTGTCGACTTTTAGGCTTGAATCTTCAACTTGCTTTTGGTGTTAGGTTGGTACAAGTAATTGTCGGGAAGAGTTGTCATTAATCTAAGTATTTAGATTTATAAATATTTACTATTGCAATAATAAAATAATGCGTATTATATGCAAAAACTCAAGAATCAATTTTTTACCAAATTCTTATTTATGGAGTCTAAACTAGAGTTGCTGGTGAAACTGGTGAAACTTGGTGAAACTTGGTGAAACTGGTGACTATTTAAAATTTGATTGGCCATTGTATTTAATAGCCAATCAGATTTTAGATAGTCACCAGTTTCACCAACACAATTTAGTTTCACCAACAACTCTAGTCTAAACTAAAACATTGAACTTTTAACAGTTCTTGCCTATACTCAATAGCACAGATTCTTGCTAGTACATATGTATATAATTTTCTATTATTTATCTACGTAACATTAACATGTGTTAGAATAGTTTCAGATATATATAAATTATCTGTATTCTCATAATAAGGCAGGGCTGTGTAGTGATAAATAAGCAGATGCTAAACGGTTTTTTTTTGTAATAATAGTGCCAATTAATCTACTAATAATGAGGTGATATTTTGCATTGAATGCAGTTACGTAATATTATAGCAGATATGTGCATAAAGGTCATGCTTATACAAGATGATTATGTATTCTTCCTAACAACAACCTGATAGGATATCATATCTCTCTGTATAAACTTTGCAGACTTTTGCTAAGCAGCTAATATTCTCTGTCCTTTTTAGCACACAATATCTTGTAAGTTTGTGATACCTCTCATAGTTTGAGCATGTATATTGTGCAGCTCACATGCAAGCTTTTTTTTTTTCTTATCTTAATATTTGTTTTTTTTGTATATGTATATATATGTGCACGTATATAGTAGTGTTCTGCATATACGTATATAGTAAACTTATGATTTACACCTACAAGTATTATTGCACATCCAAGTAAATCAAAAACTAAGAAAAAAGTTAAAAGAAAACTAAAAAAGAAAATACTATCAAAAAGAAGATTGTTACAAAAAAAAATTAAAATAAATTAAATATGCATATCTATAAAATTAGATATTATAATAAACGATAGTAAAAATAAGAATTTTAGACACAAAATTCAGTGACTTGATATAAATTTGTATGCCTCTTTGACAAATATTTAATAATTTTCATTTTTTTTGTCAGATTTTTTTTTGGACTAATGAGAAAGTATTTATTAATCATTTCTAAATATATAATAATCACTAGACTGATATGACATTTATCTACTTTTAAAAACCTAATTTGTATATCATAATCTTTTTAACTGTATAAGAATTTCTTTATTTGAACTTCTTTCTATGTATTTGGCTTGATTGCAATTAAATATATTTAATATAAAATATTTAATCATATAAACATTCATTATCATATTTTAGGCCATACAAATTATGCTATCATTTTTTATACTACCAACTAACCTTTTGTGACCTGGTGACCTGTTTTAATTTTTTTTCTAAAAAAAAATTATTTTAATAAGAACGTTAAGAATTTTGTTACATGATTATTTCAGTCTTATTAGTTTAGTTAGTAAGTATAAAGATCATTTATTTTAATCACATTAATTCAACTGATAAATATAAAGATTATTTGTTAATTCATAAAATCGAGACCTGCAAACCAAGTTTACGAGTCAAAATTGTTTTGTTCACATTAATTTAGCTGGCATGTTAAAGTACCCCAGTGGCACTGATAAATTTACCAGGAATGTAGTGAAATGGAATGTATGGTTCAATTCGTGTTCGTCCACAAAATCTTGATTCTGATTAGATGTAGTAATCAAATGATTTTTATGACATAATGACCTATATTATTGTTAACCCTATATAAAATTTTATATAAATAGATCCCTGATCTTTGCTATTTTGGTTACAGTTGGGTTTCTTATGATCCCCCACATTCTCTTTTAGATAAAATGGATAGATTACCATAACTATAATACTGTATTACTGTGTTATCATACATGATTTTTTAAAGTACTTTTTTATAACTTGATATTTTGTTAATTAAAAGTACAGCCAACATCATTCACAGCCTTAGAAGAGCACTAGCATTCCACTGTGCAAAAGAATCTCAAAATGACCTTAAACCTAACAACTTAGAAGCTAAAATATATTATTATCTATTGAATAACACAGAATTGTGCAGTAGATTAAAGATAATTAGAAATGCTTTGTATAAGACTGCTTTATTCGCTACTGTATCAACTGTTTAATTTTTGATAGGTATAAACCCTGACTTTATGGTGCGTTTTGGATCTGCCAATCGTAAATTAAAGTAGTGGGGATGGGCGGATGCCCCTGGTTGGATTGTGGTAACCCTGGTAGAAACAGGTGCCCAACCTACGGGTCACCCGTAAGTCAGCCCACAAGTAACCCGTAGATATAGGTAAAAAAAAATCAAGTTTCTAATGATATTTATTGAAAAAGTTTAAAAATGCTTAGAACCCGACTTAAAGGTCTGCTGACATTTAATTTTTCGAACTAATATTTTTCAAATCAATTCTCAATTCTAAATTCGATTAAAGATTAAATCAATAATCATAGAATCAATTCCCACCCCTATTTCTGTGCCGGAGGCACGGGTTATACGCTAGTCACCTTACAAGGCTTATCGTTATGCATAACGATAACTAATTTGTAAGGCAGGACACAAGTAGAAATTGCCATTTTTCATTTATTGGAATTAATCCCTAACCAAAGTCGTCAATTAACTCATGCCTTAACCCTTATCTGGACTAAATATATACAATGTATGCAAGTTATGACAGATATGTCTTATTTTTTAGCGATTTTGATCTTACATAGTAGATTATCTGTGCGACAGAAAAACCATAGGCCAAAAATGGATAACATCTTAACGTAAGAGTGCATGCATGTTTCAGCCTTTGTCTAACCTCCCGGCTTCAAAGGAAAACATATAAAAAGGGGAGTATGCGAAATCATATTTGCTTTGTCTCGTAATTTTATTTCTATAGCAATCTTTTTATAATCAACTATGACCAACAACACATACGATAAACTTTGCGACTTTTTAGTGAACGCTGATGAAGAAAACATCACTGCTGGATCTGCTATTTATCAACTAATAGAAGATGAGCCCTGGACCCCCAAACCTGTACTAAAAAATATGATAGGACGCGCTGTATCTTTTGCAAATAATCAAATTACTAGAGGATCTTCGCGTTATAAAACTCTGCTAGAAATTATACAAGAGGAATATATTTAGAGATATGCATATTTTGAATGATGATTACGCAGATACTCGCAGCCAATTTGAAGAAATAAGTGTAGCAGATTTAGCACCCCATTAGCTCGTGTACAGGATTTCTTTTCTGGGAACATTTGAGGGGGTGTTTAATTTGTAATTTGCTTATTTCTATGTTATTACGGCACCATATACGAAGTTTTATTTGCGTGATGGCCACACAAAAATAAGGCTTCGTTTATATCTGACGGCGCATGCGCTTTAGAGAAGATTTTTTATTTTAGCAAAAAATTTATCAATTATATCTGCGTTAGTTTGAAATTTCATATAGGACGGTTATTAGCTTGCATGCTATAGGTGCAGTGAAAATTAACGAGGAAAAGCCTCTTAGCTCGAAGCAGATCGAGTCCAACATGGAAAAATTGGAAGAAAAACTGAAAAATGGCACATCTTCCCTCTTTCATCAGTTGCATACTAACTTAA